TCTGTCACACTCACTCTCTTTTTCTGTGTAGTGCTTTGTCTTTCAGGTAGATGAAAATCATACACTTTTTTAAAAGATTTATTTATTTTTATTGGAAAGACAGATATACAGAGAGGAGGAGAGACAGAGAGGAACAACTTCCATCCAATGATTCACTCCCCAAGTGGATGTAATGGCTGAAGCTGAGCCAATCAAAGCCAGGAGCTTCTTCCGGGTCTCCCACGCGGGTGCAGGGTCCCAAGACTTTGGGCCATTCTCAACTGCTTTCCCAGGCCACAAGCAGGGAGCTGGATGGGAAGTGGAGCTGCCAGGATTACAACTGGTACCCATATGGGATCCTGGTACATTCAGGGCGAGGACTTAGCCACTAGGCCATGCCGCTGGGCCCCAATTTATTTTTTTAAAGATTTATTTTTATTGCAAAGTCAGATATACTGAGAGGAGAAGAGACAGAAAAGATCCTTTGTCCGATGATTCAGTCCCAAAATGGCCACAACAGCTGCAGCTGAGCTGATCTGAAGCCAGGAGCTAGGAGTTTCTTCCAGGTCTCCCACATGGGTGCAGGGTCCCAAGGCTTTGGGCCGTCTTCAATTGCTTTCCCAGGCCACAAGCAGGGAGCTGGATGGGAGGTAGGACCGCTGTTATTAGAACCAATGCCCATATCCTGGCGCGTGGAAGGCAAGGACTTTAGCTGCTAGGCTGCTGAGCTGGGCCCTTTTGTTAGCAATTTAGAGAACAGTGAACAATTTATAGAAAAAAAATCATATTTTCTCCCAGTCTAGTCCTCCCCCAAGTTCCCTCACCCTGTTCCCCAGCCCGTAATTGCTAATTCTGTGGCTTATGGTCTGATGTACAGATAGTCTTCCATAATTTTATTTGTACTCATATAAATATGAAAGTTTTTTGTATACTATGAGCATTATTCTTGAACTCTCCTTTTTTGACTGAAACTGTTTACATTGTCCCTCAAGGTCAATACATACCCATGTAGGGAATTTTTACTTAGCAAGCTACTATGTTCTAGACAACTAGTAAGTGCTTGGGAATGCAGCAGTAGGAGAGGAAACAGAGTCCCTACTCTTCCAGAGCTTACAGTGCGTTCGGCTTCAGATAGCTACATACTTTTCAGTGAGGATGTGCTGTATTTGATTCAGCCATTCTGCTGAGGGGCATTGAAATTGTTTCCAGGCTTTAACACTACAGAAATAATATTAAAAACTTTATACATAATTTGTTTTAAAAATGTATTTATTTGAAAAAAAAATGTATTTATTTGCAAAGCAGAGAGAAATAGAACGGCGGTTCCTTGCATCCACCGATCCACTCCCCAGCGGACACAGCAGCTAGGGCTGGCTGAAGCCAGGAGTTTACAGCTCCAGCTGTGCTTTCCTTATGGGTGGCAGGAGACCATCTACTTGGGCTGCCCTCCCCTGCTTCCCCAAGCAGAATAGCAGGGAGCTGAGTCAGAAGTGGAACAGCTGAGAATCAAGCCAGCATTCCAGCACAGGATGCCTGCATTGTAGGTGGGGATGACTAATTGCGTCACAGTGCTGGTCCCTATAAATCTTATCTGTTGGTGGTGTCAGAACCCAGAATCTGAGTTTGTTGGTCAGAAGATACACATTTTAAAATTCTTCTAGAAAATAATGGATTACTTTTCCGAAAGGTTATAAAGATGCATGACATTTCTACCCGCGGCGTGTGAGGGTGTATGTCTTCTGGTACTCTAACCCAAAGTTCCCAATCTTTCTAAACGTGGCATTATAATAGACAAAGGTGGTATCCTCTAGTTTTGTATGCGTGTGTGTGTGTGTGTGTGTGTGTTTCTTTCATTGCTCTTGGAGTATCTTTTCATGGGTTTATGGAATATTTGTAGTTTTTCAATATTATTTACTTTTATTTGAAAGTTACATACACAAGAGGAGAGACGGAAAGATCTTCCATCCATTGATTCACTCCCCAAGCAGCCACAACGGCCAGACCTGAGCCAATCCAAAGCCAGGAGCCTGGAGCTTCTTCCAGGTATCCCACATGGGTGCAGGGTCACAAGGCTTTGGGCCGTGTTTGACTGCTTTCCCAGGCTACAAGCAGGGAGCTAGATGGGAAGGGGGACTGCCAGTATTAGAACCGGTGCCCATATGGGATCCCAGTGCATTGAAGGCAAGGACTTTAGCCACTAGGCTACTTCACTGGGCCCAAATATTTGTATTTTTTTTAAAGATTATTTTAAAAATTTTATTTGAAAGGCAGAGATAAGCAGAGGGGATGGAGAGAAAGAGGGAGATCCTCCATCCACTTGTTTGCTCCCCAAATGGCTAAATGGCTAGAGCTGTGCTGGTCTGAAACCACAAGCCACAAATTTCTTCCAGGTCTCCTACATGGGTACAGGGGCCCAAGCACTTCTGCTTCCCCACACACCCAGTGCCTTCCCAGGCAGTTAGCACGGAGCTGGATCAGTATGGGACATAGGCACCCCTGGCAGAAGCTTAGTATGCTGTGCCATGGTGATAGCCCCTGAATATTTGTATTTTTATGTGCTTGCTTATGTCCTTTACAGAATTGCTTATTTTTATTTATGAGAGCAGAGAACGATTTCCCATCTACTGGTTCAGTCCCCCATTGCGTGGAAATGCAGCGGAAGATAGCACAGGTGCTTGGGTCCCTGTGCATGTGTGGGAACTGCGGAAGCTTCAGGCTCCTGACCTCAGCAGGGCACAGGCCTGGCCCCTGCAGCCATCTGGGGGGTGAGCCAGCAGATGGACGATACCGCTGCCAGCCCGCATGGCTCTCTCTAACGCTGCCTTTCCAGGAAATGAATTCTTTTTAACAATCAAGTTGCAAGTTTTTTTTGTAAATGTTGAACATTAGTTATGTTTGAATATTGTTTCAAATGTTTTCTCTCAGTCTGTTTTGTTGATTGCTTATTACAGACACGTTTTTGGCTCCCTACGAACTTTTGGAATATCCATCTTATTTGTCAGTCATTTCTATCCTATCTATTTGTGAAGAACAAGTGAATCACTCTCCCCGCCACGAAAATACAGTGAATGAACTCCTGTGCATCAACTGCGTAAGCTCGAGTCCTCTGCTTCCCCATCAGTACAGTTAGCGCCGTCCATTTAACTGTCTGGAGTGAGGCGGCTGTCTAGCTTTGAGTCTAGGGAGTGCTTGCGCATCAGTGACCTTGGTTAGAAAACAGTAGTGTTGGTGTCTGTGGCCACAGCTGCCTGAGCCTGCCTGGCCTTCGAAACCAAGCAGGATAGGGCCCGGGCAGTGCTTAGGCGACAGGAATGGTGTGGCCGTCCTCTGTACTAGATGGGGCTACGGCACGCGGAGCAGTTTCCTCATCAGGGAAGTTAGGCAAAGATTTTGGATTACTTTGAGAGTCTAACCTTGAATGTGATATTTTCTACTTCTGAGAAATTTTGTGAACTCCCGGAGATGTTTTCAAATTAATTTTTTTTGTGCCTTTTCAGTCAAAGCCTTCTGCTGGAGGTGCTTGGAACTGAAGCTCTTCATCATTATCTTTTGCCATATAGGAAATTTCATTTTTAGCAAATCAAGTGTATTATGTTTCTGCATATGAGTGTGTGAGTGGTTATTAAGTCAATTCAGGAGGCCTGGCGTGATGGCCTAGTTGCAGGATCCTTTCCGTGAATGCGCTGGTATCCCACATGGGTTCGTGTCTTGGCTGATCCACTTCCTACCCAGATTGTAGTCTGGAAAAGCACTCAAGGACGGCCCGAGTCCTTGAAGCCCTGCACCCGCGTGGGAGACCTGGAAGAGGTTCCTGGCTCCTGGCTTTGGACTGGCTCAGTTCCGGCCAGTGCAGCCTTTTGGGCAGTGAACCAGCAGATGGAAGATCTCTGTTTCTCCTCTCTGTAAATCTGCCTTCCCTGTAAATAAATAAATAAATCTTTTAATTTCATAGATTTTTTTTTTTAAAAAAAAGACAATTCAGGAAACAAGGAAGAAGGAAATCAAAATTTTAAGATGTTCCATAACCTTAAGTGACTTCAGAGCGTTTTTACTTGGCGAGCATCCATGGTACTTGTGCGAGTTAACACTGTAGCTAATGTAATTGAAGTGATGTAAAGAACCAAAGAAATGATTTGGAGAATGAAATTCCAAAGCTACTGAATAGTAATAAACATCACTTCTTTATCGAGCATTTATGAGGCTGGTATTATGTCACAGCTGTTAAAGCAGCCATTTGTGTAGGCCAGCTTCCCATAGGGACAACAGCTGGAGTCCAGTACTAGATTCTCTACTTCCGATCCAGTTCCCCACTGATAGACCTGGCAGAGCAGTACAAGGTGGCTCAAGGTTTTGGGTCCCTGCCATCTGCATGGGAGATCTGGATAAGGTACCAGGCTTTAGAGTGACCCAGCCCTGGATATCGCAGCCATTTGTATGTTCTCTCTCTCTCTCTCCCTCTCTTATGTCCTCTTCCACTCCCTCCCCTTATAATTTTGCATTTTAAATAAATAAATGTTTTTTTGAAAAAAAGCCTTTGGGCCCGGCATGCTAGCCTAGTGGCTAAATTCCTCGCCTTGCACATGCCAGGATCCCTTATGGGCTCCGGCTCTAATCCCAGTAGCTCCACTTCCCATCCAGCTCCCTGCTTGTGGCCTGGGAAAGCAGTGGAGGACAGCCGAAAGCCTTGGGACCCTGCACCCATGTGGGAGACCTGGAGGAAGCTCCTGGCTTCTGGCTTCGGATCAGCTCAGCTCTGGCTGTTATGGCCATTTGGGGAGTGATCCAGCAGACGGAAAATCTTTCACTCTGTATCTCCTTTCTGAATATCTGCCTTTCCAATAAAAATAAATAAATAAATAAAAAGAAAAAACAAAGCTTTTGTATTACTTATTTTACCAGTTTAAAATTATTCTTTTTTTCTATTTCGAAATAAATTATGTTTTATTACAACTCTTATAGAAGTTAATTTTTATTATTTATAATAAAACATGTAACATGTACCCCTCAAATTTGCATTTTAGGCCTTTTTCAAAGACCCTAATGTTATTCCCAATCTGAAGTTACTTTCAGAATCTTCTGGACAATGGATTACATTAGGTAAGCAAAATTTAATTTTTATCTTTTCACTTGACTGTTTTATAACAAAATATTGTCTAGGGGTTTTCATTATTAAAACCTAAATCATGAATAATGGCTCATCTGTTTGGTCATATCAGATTAGGTTTGACCAGCTGTGTGACGCTTGCCTTGCATGCCCCTCCTCGAGCCTGTGGAACTGCCCTGATTCAGCTTACAGGAGCAATTTTTCTTTTTCTTTATTTGGACAGTATTTAATGTGTGTCTCCCGTGTATGTACTTGCTAGATGCAGGGATCATTAAGAGCAATAGGTGAAAACCTTTGAAGGAACTTGTTGATATTTTTAAATATGCTTGTGTAGTAATACATCACCCGTGCTTCTGCAGATGTGAGACCCAGCGGAGGAGCGTGGTCGGTTTTACCGGGAAGGAAAAGATCGAGAAAGATTCCCCTGTTACAGGGAAGCTTTTAGAGGAATCTCAGTTGGGCTAAGCGCGTGCATTTCTGACAGAGTTCTGCCACTGTGGAACATGTTAAAATAATAGCATGTTAAATCTTCAGTTCCCAGAAGAAAAACATTGTATAGATCACATTTTTATAATACACTTAGAGAAAAATCACTGCAGTGTGTGAACATTAAGCAATATTCAGTTAAATCTATTTAACACTCAAGTGAAGGAATAAATCAGATTTTAAAACTGCACAAACAAGGATAGAAACACTGTGTTTTAAGCAACAAAGCAGAGCGTTCTGCTTAGGAGGAGAATCTGGTTGGTAATACAAATGCAGGTAGACTTTACATGAAAGATTTTGTTTTGCTCTTGTAAATTGTTGTATTCCATGGGAGTCTAGTAACCTTACACAGAAATCATTTTTCTTTATGAATAAGAACAAAATTACAAACAGTTCGTGAAGTTACATTTAGTAGGTCAGATTTTATTGCTGTTGGCTAGACTACTATAAAATTTATAGAGCAAAAAGCTGGTACATCCTGATCTTCAGACTACTTACAAAATTATCTGAGAAAAATATGTTTCCTAACTCAGAATTTTCAAAAGAAATAATCAGAGCCGTGGGATCACAGTGCTTTTAAAGCATGTTTATACTTAACTTAAGTCAATCCACTTGAAAATATAAGGTTCACCAAAAACAAGTGTTCAGCTTCCCCCCATATTGGTGCCTACTTCACAAAGTAGCACTGGCTTATTTTTTCATTTTGGAAGAAGGCATTGCAAAGGGAGAGCTGCTGGAATTCCACGTGTACTTGAGAAATCAGAAGTGTTTGAAAAACAGCAGAAGCGTATCACTCCATTTCAAAAGCATAAGCTCTAAATGGATAGTAGTACTCTTTCATTAGATTGTTTTATCTCCTTTTTCTTTTCTCCCTTTTCTGGTACCCCAGCACTCTTTGTTCCAGTTTTCCTTTGGGGACATCTATAAACAAAAGTAACCTTTTTTTTTTTTTAATAAGAGAAAAGACATTTTTTTAGCGAAAATGAATTGCTTCTGAAGAAAAGTGCTGATGAGGGCCCAGTGCAGTAGCCTAGCGGCTAAAATCCTTGCCAGGATCCCATATGGGCACCGGTTCTAATCCCAGCAGCCCCACTTCCCATCCTGCTTGTGGCCCGGGAAAGCAGTTGAGGACGGCCCAAAGCCTTGGGACCCTGCACCCACGTGGGAGACGCAGAAGAGGCTCCTAGCTTCAGATCAGCTCAGCTCCGACCATTGTGGCCACTTGGGGAGTGAATCATCGGACGGAAGATCTTCCTCTCTGTCTCTCCTCCTCTCTGCATATCTGACTTTGTAATAAACATACATATTTTAAAAAGTAGAAAAGTGCTGATGACACCTGCATCACTGCTAATTGCACTGCCTTGTCTGCCAGCTGTCAGTTCCACTTTCTCCGCTCAGTGAGCCACTGCTTTGTTTTAGACACGCTTTGTCTCTTTCGGATCGTGTGTAATGGATGCTTCCTCTGTACTCACCCAAAACATTCCTACATGCTGCCTCCTCTAATTGTCAAACAACATTGTAAGAGGTATTATTTATAGATTCATCTCTCTCTGTGTATGGAGATGTAGTGTGTGTGTGTGTGTATGTGTGTGTAGTCAGTGATGAGTCAGAAGCATAAGTTAAGTAATTTTTAGTTTTTCACAGCTTTCTGAGTGGAGTTGAAATTGAAATCCAGGCCACAAAATTTAACAACTTGACCACTAGTGTGTGCTACTTCTGCCATTTTCTTGTTGATGCAGTTGATCCCTGCAAAAAAATCACTAACATCAAATTAAAAGAAAAAGCTTTCAATGTATTATAATACTAGCATTAAGAAGGAAAATGAATTGAAAATGTTTTATGACAATCATGTTTTTTCTTTCTTTTTTCCCTTTTTTACTATTATTTTATGATACAGTTCCATAGGCTCTGGGATTTCCCATACCCCCTACAAATCCCCCCCCACACACTGAGTTCTCTGACATTATTACAATAGTTTAGTTCTTCATAAACAGTCATAATTTCATCACTGTGGGCATGCACAGTGGCAGAGTTGAGCATCTTCATGTCAAGATGCAGTAAACAGTTTCACTGGGAGTCCATCTTTGATCTGGAAGTAGAGATGCACACTGCATTGTATCCTCACATCTGGATGTGATAGTTTCCATTACACAATTACTATACATCACCTCAAATGAAAAGCCACAATACAAAATCAACAACAGGATGAAAAAAATAGAAATTTACAACACCATGAAATAAAATAATATGCTACCGAATGACTAATGTGTCACTGAAAAAATGAAAGAGAATCAAGAACCTTCTTGAAGAAAATGTTACTGTATGACCTATGAATCCGTGAAGAATTTAGTATGAGAAAAAAAAAACTATTTTTTTTTAAAGATTTATTTTTATTTTTTTTTTTATTGGAAAGGCGGATATACTGAGAGGAGAGACAGAGAGGAAGATCTTCCATCCGATGATTCACTCCCCAAGTGAGCGCAACGGGCCAATACTATGCCGATCCGAAGCCAGGAGCCTCTTCCGGGTCTCCCACGCAGGTGCAGGTTCCCAAAGCTTTGGGCTGTCCTCGACTGCTTTCCCAGGCCACAGGCAGGGAGCTGGAAGGGAAGCGGGGCTGCTGGGATTAGAACCGGCGCCCACATGGGATCCCGGACGTGCAAGGCGAGGACCTTTAACCACTTGCGCCACCGCGCCGGGCCCAAAAAAAACTATTTTGAAGAAATGAAAATAACAACAGAAACATCAAAATCCATGAGCTATAATTTCTGCCAATCTTTGTTGGTGAGATGTGTTTCCTGTGGCAACGGATAGATGGGTTTTGTTTTTGACCCAGTCTGCTAATTTATGACATTTGATTGATGAGTTTAAGCTATTTACATTCAGCATTAGTATGAATAGGAGGTAATTTGGTCCTGTCATTTTTTTTAAGTGTTCTTTTTTTTTAATTTATCTTTATTGCAAAGTCAGATGTACAGAGAGAGGAGAAGAGACATCGAGGAAGATCTTCCCCAACTGACTGCAATAGCCAGAGCTGAGGCAATCTGAAGCCAGGAGCCAGGAGCTCCCCTGAGTCTCCCACATGGGTACAGGGTCCCAAGGCTTTGGGCCGTCCTCGACTGCTTTCTGAGGCCACAAGCAAAGAGCTGGATGTTAAGCAGGGTTACCAGGATTAGAACTGACACCCATATGGGATTCCAGTGCGTTCAAGGACTTAAGGCACTAGGCCACGTACCAGGCCCAGTGCTGTCATTTTAGCAGTGAATTGTTCATTGCTTGATTTAGTCTTCTGTTGTTATTTTACTGGGATGTTCCCCACATTCACCTCCTGTTTTGTTGAGTGCTATTCCTATTCTCCGTCAAGAGAACATCGTTTGTAGGGCAGGTCTGGAAGGAGGCATATTCTTTGAGCTTTTCTTTACTGTGGAAGAATTTTATTTCGTTTTCAAAGACAAAAGAAAGAGTTGCTGGTTTTGTTATTCTGGGTAACAATTTTTTCTTTTTAGAATCTGGAATATTTCACTCCATTCCCATGAGAATTCACCTGTGAATGTAATTCCCATTCACTTATATAGTCAGTTGATATTTTTCATGTGCACATTTAAGAATCTTTTCCTTATGTCTGACTGAAGAGAGCTTAATGATCATGTGTCGTGGTGAAGATCACTTGTGGTCAAGCCTGTTGGGAGTTCTGTGCCCATCCTGTATTCTGTTTCCCAATTCTTTTCTTCAGATTAGGAAAATTTCTTTTTATTATTTCATTAAATACATTTTTAAGCCCAGTTTATTTTTCTGTACTTCTCGAACTCTCATAACTTTTATGCTCGGCTTTTTAATAGTATCTCTTAATTCTTAAATACTTTTCTTAGTTTGATTCATTTCCTCTTCCAGCTTTTTGATTATTTCACCATTGTAGCAAGAAATATCTTCCAATTCTGAGTTTCTTTCTTCTGCCCCATCATTCTGTTATTGAGAGTTTCCATTGAATTTTTAATTTGCCCATTGTGTCCTTCATTTCTAATAGTTCTGCTTGATTTTGTTTCAGTGTTGCTATTTCCTATGTAACATGTTCTTTAAATTCCTGTATGTACTTCTCATTGTTGATAAGAAGCTTTATAACAAATTTTTTTGAAGTTCTTTCTCCACCATATCCTCGTTGTATTCCTTGGTTAACTCTAGGCTGCCAAAGGATTCTGCTCCTTTGCAAGGAAGTCGAGTAATATTCATCGTTCATCTGTCTCTTCCTTTGCTTTTCGTCACTGTACCTCTGGTTAACAGATTCTTCTTCTTAGGGCAGGTTTCTAAGCTGTGTCACCCACAAGTCTTCAGTTTGATTTTATTGATTGTGTTTGGTGCCTGGTTCTTGCACCGCTCCCTCCAGTGAGTTTTTGAGTTAGGCTTCCACCATAGTCTCCATAGCCCCAGCTCCTGGTTCACCATTCTCCCCTACCCGTGATCTCATGCTGAGGCCACACCATTGCCTATATAACCTTTCTCCCACTTCCAGTTTGAGCAGTTCCTAGGATTGGGGAGACAACACATGTCGTAAATAACTAGGCTGTTGGTGGTGCTGATCTTGCTGGAATCTACTAGCCATTTGGTCTGATGGCCACTCAGACCTATTTTGACCAGTAGGTTGCCAAACTCAGTATTATTTTCCCTGTGGGACCAGTATAATGCACTGAGCTGGAAGTGCGATCTCTCCCAGCTCAGCACATGTATAGCTCACTGTTGTCGCTCCAGTCTCACAGCCTTTGCCACACTGTACAAAATGGCAGTTGGTGCGCCATGATGGAGTTCTGGATTCTCTGGTTGTTATGGCTGCATGCTCCTCCTCTCTGTATATCAAGCTTTCCAATAAAAATAAATCTTTTTTTCAAAGGAAAAGGAAAGAAATATCCAAAAAGCAACTTAGGTCATCAAGGCCATCAGGCCTCTCCCCACCATCTTCAGGTAGAACCTCGGAGCATGGCCACCTGAAGTTGTATGGCTTTACCCACACCTAGGAGAGAAAGACTGGTACTCCAGGGTTCAAGAGGCAGAGGAAAGAAATAGGAAAGGCTTATTCTTTTCTTTTTTAATTAACTAATTAATTAAAATAATCTTACTTAGTTGATTAGGGTACAAAAGGTCAAGGGCTACAGGAAAGTGGGTAAGACCATTGTTTCCACACTAGTATCATTTTTTCCCCCTGTATCTGGGGTCAGGGGAGAAACAAAGGGAAAAACCCCACCCAGCCTCCCACCCATCCCAGGTCCCCGATGTGAGGCATGCTCAGAGGGTCCTGCTCAAGCAGTTTTGATAGTTCAGCAGTTCTGGATTACTGCCAATCTCACAGTTCCAATCGCGATGAAACCTTTTCAGAACCACTGGCTGACATAGTCTCTTCATAGTTGGGGTTCTGAGATCAGCAGTTCAGTTGGAGGGAGCTCCAGAGAAACTTCATCTGAGATGATCCCAAATCTGATTCCTGTGTGTGTTTGCCAATACGGGGTCTGGCACAGTCCGTCGCCCCAATCAGCTTGTGCACATGCTGGTCGTTGCAGTTGCTGGGTCAATTCTATTTCCAGCCCTGTCTTCTTCCACTTGAACCAGGAAGGGCTTATACTTGCATCTTAAGATCTAAAGAAGCTTGCTTTGCTAAGTTACAGATTGGCTTAGCTACTGCAGTGACGTTATTTTCTGTTTGTTTGTTTTTTTTCTTTCAAATTGGAAGCAGCTATTTCTTTTCATTCCATCCTTTGCCAATATATAGTGTGTCTGTTTTCATAAGTTCATAGCTTGAGAGGAATTTTGCTTCAGGAAAAATCATACCTTAGGTCTCACCCCATGTCCATATTAGGCTACATTTAAGTGTCACATTAGATTTTAAGTAATGCTAGAGTGAGTTAAAGCTTTTGAACTTGGGGTGAATATAATTTTGCATGTGATTAAAAAAAAACATTAATTTGGGGAGCTGAGGTAAAATGCTAATGAGTGTGTTGTTTTCCCTAAAACTCATATTTTGAAGCCGTGTGACTCCCCCATACATAGCTCATGTAACTCTTAATCTTTCCTATTTCCTAACACTATCACCTTAAGGATTATGATTTCAACCTACCAATTTTGAAGGAATACAGTGTTACAGTACACAAGAGTGCTATTTTCATACCTCACATTAAATGGCTTGAGTTTAAACACGTTGTCTTACCATCCAAAACTTCTCACCATTCCCCAAATCAGAGTAAGGGTAGACTGATTACAATGGGCCAATGTCAGTCCCTCTTCCTGTGGCCACCAGTCACTTATCGGCTTGTCAGGCTCAATGCCGCCCTTGTTCTCTGCATTTTCAACAGTGCTTGAACTACTCTGTCATTTTCTATGGCCTTCTTTTTGTTTTAATCCCCCAGAGGATTGTGCCTGTGAAACAAAAGGAATTTAGCAGCAGAGCTTTTAAAACTACTGAGCCATACACAGTTCCTGGCTCCAGGCAACCTTGTCTCCGCAGCAGCCTAGCCAGGCTCACAGGGGCTACAGGTCCTGGCATGACTCTGGGTGGACAGCCAAAACAGGAAATGTACACTGTCGCCAGTTCTCGGGCACAAGCTGCTCCTCAGGTCAGAGACTCAGCAAGTGTTTCTAAGGGAACAGAGATGCTGAGAGGTCACCACACTAGAACTTTGAACAGAAGAACGCCATCCTTTATATCTGTATCTGTGTATGTACATGTGAGAGAGATAGATTGAAATAATAAAAAAGTATGTAGGGCCTGGCTGGGTAGCCTAAGAGCTAAAGTCCTCGCATTGCATATACCAGGATCCCATGTGGGCACCAGTTTAGTCACAGAGGCCCTGCTTCCCATCCAGCTCCCTGCTTGTGGCATGGGAAAGCAGTTGAGGAAGGCCCAAAGCCTTGGGACCCTGCACCCGCATGGGAGAGGCTCCGGACTCCTGGCTTCAGGTCGAGGCTACTTGGGGAGTGAGTCAAGGGACAGAAGATCTCTCACTCTGCCTTTCCTCCTCTCTGTACATCATGCTTTCCGATAAAAATAAAATGAATCTTTAAAATAAAAGTATGTAATCATTATGGCTTTCTTTAATTTAACAGACCTCTAGAAACAGAAAATTTATTCCTGGAAAATGCCTACAGGAAATCAGTGTCAGGTAAAGGGGAGAAAGAACTAAAGCTACAAGAGAAAAACAGGCCAAATGTCATCGTTCCAAATTCTCTAGTTCTGCAGTGCTGATAAGTTTCAAAGCGAAACTTGATCAAGTTACCTCAGCTTGGAAAACTTTTTGTAATAAACGCAAATCAGACCACAAAGGAGAAATGTTTAAATAGATAGAAAAATGTTTTCAAGTACCTCCAAGGACTTAATTAAAATCTTAGAGGAGAGTGAGCCAGCAGATGAAAGCTCTCTCTCTCTGTCCCTCTCTCTCTGCATTTCCTCCAACCCTGTAACTCTGCCTTTCAAGTAAAATAAATGAATCCTTAACAAGATCTACCTTCCGTTCACTGTCTCCCTCTCCAAATGGTCACGGAGGTCATTGCCTGCCTTGTTTGCAGATTAGAGCCAGGAGCCTCTTTCCAGGTTTGCCACAGGGATGCAAAGTCCCAAGGACTTAGGCTAGCCTCCTGTTTCCCAGAGCAAAAGCAAAGAGCTGGATCACAAGTACAGTAGCCAGAACACAAATCAGGGCCCATACAGGATGTCAGTGCCACCAGGCAGTGGATTAACTTGTGCCACTGTGCCAGTTCCTAAACAAATCTTTTTAAAAAGATACATTATGTGTCCAGTGCAATAGCCTAGTGGCTAAATCCTTGCTTCTAACCACCAGGATCCCATATGCATACCGGTTTGCATCCCAGCTGCTCCACTTCCCTTCCAGCTCCCTGCTGGTGGCTTGGAAAAGCAGTAGAGGATGGTCTAAAGCCTTGGGACCCTGCACCTGCCTGGAAGACCCAAAAGAAGCTCTTGACTCCTGCCTTTGGATCATCTTAGCTACAGCCTTTGTGGCCACTAGGGAATGAACCAGCAGACGGAAGATCTCTCTGTATCTCCTTTTTCTGTATATCTGCCTTTCCAATAAAAATATATGAATCTTTTCTTAAAAAATACATTATTAGGTGATTTTGTCATTGTGTGAACATCATTATGTACTTGTAAATACCAAGGTGAATACTCAGTCTTGCCTGTTGGTAAGTGAAGCCTTATAAGAACACAATGTAGATGAAGTTCTTGCCAGTGTAATACAGCTTGCTGTTCGATGTAATTTTTCATAAGCAGGAATATGCTCTACAATGTTGATTTTTTAAAAAGGACAGTAGAGGGCCCAGCACTTTAGCCTAGTGACCAAAGTCCGTGCCTTGCATGCGCGAGGATCCTGTATGGTCACCAGTTCGTGTCCCGACTGCTCCATTTTCCACCCAGCTCCCTGTTTGTAGCATGGCAAGGCAGTCGAGCACAGCCCAAAGACTTGGGACCCTGCACCTGTATGGGAGACCCAGAAGAGGCTCCTGGCTGCTAGCTTCAGATTTGCTTAGCTCTAGCCATAGCAGCCACTTTGGGAGTAAAACAGTGGACAGGAGATCTTTCTCTCTGTCTCGTCTCTGTAAAACTGACTTTCCAATAACAAATGAAGCTTTAAGTAGAAATACATGCACTAACTCTACCATTGAACAGAGCCATTTGTTTTCTTTACTGAGTATGATGAACTATGCGTATTTGTAATCGTACAGCTACACCTTCGTGTGGTTAGCACTGCCTGTTTACACAAGCATCACCATAGATACGTGCATTGTACTGTTATTAGAGGAAGCAAAGTTTTCAGCTCTATTAATAATCTCATGGAGCCCCTATTGTATCTATAGTCTGTCATTGACTAAAATATCAGTATTTAGAGCTTGATTTATATCAAAACGTAAGTTATGGTTCATTTTTTCTGCATAATAATTTATTTTGAAAGTAATTAAGAATACTAAATTGATTTTCCTATCTTCTGTTCTTTGTAAAATTCCTTTTTCTCCAGGAACTGAAGTGAAAAAAATTGAGGCTATAAATGTTCCTTGCACACAACTTTCAATGTCATTTTTCAATCGATTGTATGACGAAGATATTGTACGAGACAGTGGGCATATTGTTAAATGTTTAGATTCATTTTGCGATCCGTTTCTCATTTCTGATGAGTTACGCAAAGTAAGTACAGCGTTTTCTAATTTCACAGTGGAATTTTATTTCAGGGAATGAGCAGGAAATGCAAAGACCTTTGCCTAAAACCCATATAATATTTCTTGTTGATAAATAAGGAGCAATATTAATCGTTACATTGACCTATTTTTTCGTGCGTAGCATTTGTACTGTCAGCTTAATTGTATGTCTCAGCAGTTCCCAAGTGGGAGCTGCTGACATCTGATGGCTGGAGAGGCTGCTGAACAGTGTGTAGCTTGCAGGGACGGTCCTTTACAGCCGCATGAAGTACAAGTGAAGAAATTCTGGCCTACTAATGTCTACTGTGCTTTCCTAGACACCCCTTTTCAAATGAATAAAGAGCACTCCTGGAGTGAGAGAATGTTTTTCCCATGGATAAGATCAACAAAGTAATTTGATTAGCTAAAATAAATTTTTTTGTTGTAAAGGATACACTGAACTTAGAAAAATAACACATGGATTATTTCACTTATTAATTTATTGCTAAATTAATTAAGGTGATCTTAAAAAAAAAGACTTATTTTTCTTTATTGGAAAGATGGATCAGATTTACAGAGAAGGAGAGAAAAAGAATTTTCCATCCGCTGGTTCACTCCTCAAGTAGATTCAATGGCTTAAGCTGAGCTGATCCAAAGCCAGGAGGCAGGAACTTCTGGGTCTCCCACACGGGTGCAGGGTCCCAAGGCTTTGGGTCATCCTCTGCTGCTTTCTCAGGCCACAAGCAGGGAGCTGGGTAGGAAGGGGAGCAGCCAACACATGACCTGTTGTCCATGTGGGATCCCAGAGCATGCAAGGTGAGGATTTAGCTAGCGAGTTGTTGCACCGTGCTTCATTTAGGTAATCTTAGATAAATCATTCAACCTCTTGAACTTCAGGATCTTATCTATATATAACTCAAATGTGAAAATGCTCTTTATACCTTTGTAAAATCATTGGTAAAAAGAATTGAGAAAGAATTTAACTTTTTTTTTTTTTTAGAAATTACGAAATACTATTATTTTTACAAAATGATTAAAAATTACTTTCACATCAAATAGATATAAACACAAATCCAGGCTTAGAAACTTAATAGCTGGTACGTAACTCTGTCAGCCTCAGATTCTTCATCTATAAAATAGGCATAATTTGAGAATTATATAAGATAATGCATTTTAAGTGTTTAATACAATACTTGATAAAGTTTCAGTAATTTTAATCATAGCACTACTTCTACTACCACTATTATGATCACTACCATTCTCCACTGAAAGAGAAGGAAGGGGGTCCAGCACAATGGCTAAACTGAGTAATCCTCTACCTGCCTGTGTCAGCATCCCATATGAGCATCGGTTTGTGTCCTTACTGCTCCACTTCCCATATAGTTAGCTCCCTGCTTGTGGCTTAGGGAAACAGTGTAAGATGGCCCAAAGCCTTTGGACCCTGCACCCAGACGGGAGACCCAGTGGAGGCTTCTGACTCCTGGTTTCTGGTTCGGATTGGCTCAGTTCGAACCTTTGTAGCCATTTAGGGAATGAATCAATAGGTGGATATCTTTCTCTCTGTCTCTCCCCTCTGTAAATCTGCCCTTATTTAAATTCAGAAGCCACTGGACTTCTGAGCCCCAAGCAGGGGGCTGGTGTCTTCGCCTGGGCCTGGGCACTTTGGTGCCGGTGAAGCCCGGGGGCTGCCCGGTGGTGCCCTTTGAGTGCCTGAGGTTCGGCACTCATAGGTGGTTTGGGTTATAGTACAGGTGTGGATGTGCAGGGACTTTAGGGTTCCGCTCTAGGTGAGAAATGACTTCTGAGAAATACAGGTCCTTGTGCCTGCAAATCAGAGCCTCCTTGGTGGTTTAGATGGAGTAAAGGGTGGTATACTCAGATGCAAAACGAAGTTATGGGCCAGACGCCTAGAGGTGCTGGTTTGAGCTGGGTGAGGTGAACAGGAGCTCCACTCCCCTCAGCAGCATATAATGGTAGCTGCAGGGAGAGAAGGCAACCTAGGCCCATGAGGGGACTTTCAGCCCACCAGATGCTGAGAGGCATTCGTGGGCCCTCGAGTCACACTAGGGGAGCTCTGTGTGCTTGGAGGTGTGGACCTATAAGACATCTGGCAGAACAAATGATACTGACGTTTGTTCTTTAGTTAAATATAGTGTATTTGTGTCTAAGATGGGATATTGGCATGATGCAGCCAAGCAAGCCAACATTGCTTGTGACACTGGCGACCCCTGTCAGAGTTAGCTGAGTGGTACTGGGAAAACTGGCGGCCTCACTTCTGCTCCAGATTCCTGCTTATGCCTTTCCTTCAGGTAAGGCAACAGGAGATGCTCCAAGTACTTGGGCCCCTGTCACTTGTATGGAGACCCGGATGGAGTTCCTGGCTCCTGGCTTCTGCCTGGGTCAGATCCTGCTGGTGCAGCCATTTGGGGAATAAACCAGCTGATGGAAGAGTCTCCATTTCCATTGAGTGTTTCTACTTTTACCTCTTTTCTTCATTGATCTACTCTGGCCAGGTGTCACAAGACTGTTACCTCTAATTTCAGAGAATTCACCATCGTTTCTACAGAAAGAGCCTCATCGATGGACTTGCTTAAAAGGAGAATCTGTTTTTCAGCAAAAGACTCTGCAAAAGTGCCTGTTACTTGTCTTATTTAGTGCTTATCTAATCCTGTGCTGGGATTCAGTGTTTTCCACTGCTTTCCTGGATGTTTTGCTCTTGTGTTCTTTGCCACTCTGTAGTGACAGGGAGAGGTTTTAATTGGATTGCTTTCTGGGTGAAAAACAAACAAATAACTTCCTGCTACCAAGGGCTCCCCATTGTGCAGCACTGCAGATGTTCCTGGCAACTGCAGTGTAAGTATTGATAATAAACTTTTCCTGACCACAATGCAGAAGTTTGATTCATTAGCAATTATATCCCTGAGGTCTGCAAGGAGAATGTAATCTGTATGTAAACAGAGAGGATGAACAGATATAGAATATTTTAACACAGTGTTCAAAAATTTAAGTTACTGGGCCTGGCATGACAGCCTAGTGGCTAAATCCTCTCTTTGTATACACCAGGATCCCATATGGGCGCTGATTCATGCCCTGGCAACTCAACTTCCTATCCAGCTCCCTGCGTGTGGCCTGGGAAAGCAGTAGAGAATGACCCAAAGCCTTGGGACCCTGCACTCATGAGGAAGACCTGGAGGAAACTCTTGGCTTCTGGCTTCAGATTGGCTCAGCTCCAGCCACTGCAGCCACTTAGAGAATGAACCAGTGGATGGAAGATCTTTCTGTCTCTCCTTCTCTCTGCGAATCTGGCTTTCCAATAAAAATAAATTTTTTTTTTAATTTTTAAGTTACCAGATTTTTAAAAAATTGTATAAGCAGCATCAGTCAGTATTTGAAAATGTTCTCATGAGGAATGCATTAGCTATTCACTCCTAGGTGCTTTATCCACCCTGGTGCTAAACTAGACCTTCAGATAGCTGCAGACATGGGCTTGATATCATAAAATTTTCTTAAAAGGAAAAGAGGGAAGGGAGGGTGGTCAAGAATTTGTGCAGACTTTACATGCAGCACACCCAGGCAGCAATAACCTATAGACTGCCTCCCCTTGCCTGTGTTCTGCTATATACAAGCACAAACTTGGCTTTCATCAAGTTGTAAACAGATGCTCTTAAATGATGACTTGATGTCATGTTCATATATTGTACAAAGGCTTCAGCAGTTTACCTAGTTTACCTTGGTATTAGACAACATTCTTGTGTAACACCATGTTTCCCTCATTTACTTATTTGATATCTTTAAGTATTAGACAAATTTTTTTTTAAGATTTAATTATTTTTATTGGAAAGGTGCACAGAGAGACAGAAAGGAAGATCTTCCATCTGCTGCTTCACTCCCCAAGTGGCTGCAAAGGCCAGAACTGAGCCAGTCAGAAGCCAGGAGCCAGGAGTCTCTTCCAGGTCTCCCATGCAGGTGCAAGGTCCCAAGGCCTTGGGCTGTCCTCACAAGCAGGGAGCTGTATGGGAAGCAGGGCCACCAGGATTAGAAGTGGCGCCTATATTGAATCCCAGGCGTGTAAAGTGAGGACTTTAGCTACTAAGTTACTACGCCAGACCCAGGCAAACTTCCTACCTTTTCCCTATCTGGAGTTCTTTGTGTATTTTTTTCTCTTGCTACTTTATTTCTTGGTTAAAGATTTCTGTTTGTTTACTTTTCATTATGTTGGTCTTACTGTATCCTTGTTTTATTGTTAGCTACTTCACATTCTTTTTTTGATAAAAGATTATGTGTTTGTTACTATGGAAGATGGAGTAATAGGGAAAGACAGAGAAAAAGATACCTTGCATCCTCTGATTTACTCGCCAAATAGCCACAACTTCCAGGGCTGGGACAATTTGAAGCCCGGAGCCAGGACTCCATCCTAGTCTCCCACTTGGATGGCAGGGGCCCATTTGGACTATCTTTTACTGCTTTCCCAGGTGGATTAGCAGACAGCTGGATTGGAAGTGAGGTAGCCAAGATAGCATCCTGGTATGGGGTGCTGGCATTGCAAACAGTAACAACCTGAGGTACCACAACACTGTGCCATTCAAATTATTTTTTAAAATAGGTGGCATAGAAAAAACTCAGTAAGATAAGTATATATATTTTAAGTTTATCACCTTGTTTATGCTTACTACCTTCAATCAATAAATGAATTGTCTATAATGCCCAGTTGAGCAAAAATATCCCTCACATCAGAGCTAGTTGAGTGTTAGCCAAGTCTGAGGAGACCAAGGGACAGTGTGTATATTTAATGCCTAGTAATCTTAGAAAGGGGAGCTGGAAAAGGAGAGGGAGATTTGAGGCTCCAGCACCTTCTTGTTCACATTTGAAGAGCTGTGGGAAGAAGGGAAGAAGTAATGAAAGCACTTAAAAAATGACTGTCTGTATTTACTCTGTAAATAGAAATGAAAGTGAGATACCATATGATAATGAGGTATTTTCCCACTTATTTTCAAATAAGATTTGAAATAGCCTCAGAGCAAAAATACGGTATCCTTAGAAAAATTACTAAAAATATACACTAGGACTAGGGCCCAGCGTGATAGCCAAGCAACTAAAGCCTTCACCTTGAGCAGACTGGGATCCTGTTTGGGCACCGGTTCTGATTCCAGCGGCCCCACTTCCCATCCAGCTCCCTGCTTGCGGCCTGGGAAAGCAGTCAAGGAAGGCCCAAAGCCTTGGGATCTTGCACCCACACAGGAGACCCAGAAGAGGCTCCTGGCTCCTGGCTTCGGATCAGCTCAGCTGCAGCTGTTGCAGCTGCTTGGGGAGTGAATCATCAGGCGGAAGATCTTCCTCTCTGTCTCTCCTCCTTTCTGTATATCTGCCTTTCTAATAAAAATAAATACATCTTTTATATATGTATATATATATATTTATATACACATACTAGGACTAAAAATTAATTGGAAACACAGTCTTAGCTTCTGTGTTTTAATATTTGATTTTTTTTCTTTCATAGAATGTGACTACCTAAGGATAAAAAGGAAGTAAAAATAGGTATAGATAACAGATTATCTTCCCCAACTGCCTCAGGACTGCTGCTTCAAATAGATCTAACATTTTAAACCACATACATTGAAGCTATTTAAAAATTGTCGTCTTAGGTTTTACTAGAAGAAGACTCAGAAAAGTATGAAATATTCAGCCCACCAGATAGAGAAGAGTTCCTGTTTTGTCTTTTTAAACATCTTTGCCTTGGTGGATCCCTTTGTCAGTACGAGGATGTGATTAACCCGTATTTGGACACAACAAAGCTTATCTATAAGGACCTGGTGAGGTAAGCTTGGCAGCTTATCACAGCGGGATTCCCAGGCATCACTTCATGATCATATTAACAAGCACAGTGCGTAAAAATGGCACAGCTTTGACCCCTTCTCTTAATCTCCTTCCCTACCTGGCCTTTAGAATTTCCAGGTATCCCTGATGCTCTCGGAGTTCTTACTTCATCATCTTCATCTCCTTCCCTCATTCAGAGCTGCCACCCTCTCTGTTCCTTTTGTAACAGCTACCGTTTTCCAGGCCTCTTCCCTGCTCCTTTCCCCCATACTGCACCTTCCGAATGTCAGAGGAGCAGAAGCAATCCCGCAAGATGTTTGAGTTTGCTTGGCTAATAATAAAAAATTACTACCTTTGTTTCAAAGAGGTGGAAAAAGTTTCAACTAGGTGTAATCTTTACTTTTTCTAATGAATTGAAACTATACAGTTTGCTTTTTGGTATTCTACTAGAGCCTATGTTTTTTCCTTTAAAAGATCAGATCAGAATTAAAACTTTACAATTTTTTAAAACTATACTTTTTTTTTTGACAGAAGTGAATATTCTTTAGTTGGATCATATTTATAGGCAAAAGGGGTAGAATAAGAGAAAGCATACTGTCCTAGACGTTGGTTATATAACTTCATTTTAATAAAAACAGCAGAATTAACTTCTTATTTTGTTCCCAGTTGTACTTACACCCAACACCTTAATTCTTATCTGTGCCATATAGCTATATAATGGGATGCAGTGATCATTTTATTTCTGATATGATTTTTAAGTACATGTATATAATCTGGCTCTGATTTTAAAGAAATGGTTATTGTGCCAATGCATAAAAATTATTGAAAGAGCCACATTAGAATTTCAGCAGAATCATGCACATTATCTATGTCAGACATGTTCCATGTGAAGCATTTGCATGTCTTATAAAACTTACTAGAACACTTCTAACTTTTGAAGATGCTCCTTCAAACACACATCCTGCTGCCATTCCTGCTGCTGTGTTGTATCCCATCAGCCACAGGAACCTGTGGAATTCCTCACCACCCTGTTCTGTTTGGGAGGAGATTCTGGTGGAGATACTTAAAACAGGAAAGACTAAAACCTAACATTATAGCAACTGCTGTTTGCCTCAGCATTCCCTTCTCTGGATTCTCAGTTGTATTTTCTGTGTGCTAAGGCAGAGTAGCCAAGAGGCATGATGTCTGTTAGAAGGAAAAGGATTTTCTTCTGTGGAATCAACCAGGCAACGAGCAAGTATTAATATTGTACACAAAATTCTACCAAGGCCTAAAGAGGCTAGAAGAACATCAGACAACCCTCTTGATCTTAAGGAAATTACAACAAAATAATGGAAACTAGTCATTTAGAATTTTTAAGGTAAAACTTTTCATATAATCAAAGGTTCTGTTCTTTGTAGGCAAATGTTTATATCTCTTTATATTTAATGTTACAATTAATGCCCCCAGGAGTTAAAAAGAAGTAGTTATCAGTGCAAATGTTAGCAATCTGGGAATTCTTAATGGAATGCAGTTCCTGAAAACTGACCAAGAGGAGGTCAGTCTGTTTCCATTTTACAGGAGGTACCTGCAGAGTCTGTCCCTCTAGGGAAGACAAGAAAAGACATTAGCCCAGTTACAGCTGCACTTTCCTTTGAAACCATTGAATACTTCCCTTGACGCTTCAAGTTTGAGCATAGTTGCACATTTCTTTGCTGAATGAGGTAAGGATATGAAAAGGTCTTTCCAAAGTAGCTGCAGTAGAAAATTATGATTACACTAAAGTTAAGATGGTTTATGGTCCAACAGAAAACAACTGAATGGATTAAGGGATCTCAGAGTCCCTTAAGAGCTATGTTGGCTTCCTTATCACATGAGTGACTTGTGGCTTTTCTGGTATTTCTAATGCTGATTTGAGTCAAATGCCGTGTTATGTAATTAAGTGGCAGTCAGTGGTCAAGTTATACAGTGGATCAATGTTGCAATTGTCAAGAAGCATTTTAGCAGTGGAAGCACAGGTAGAACTTGAAGTATCTTAAGTAATTTCTCAGAATGCCAAAAAATCTCATCATGTGTTGAAGATTCATCTATTTTTTACTGGAAAGGCAGATTAACAGAGAAGGAGAGACAGGAAAGAAAGATCTTCCATCTGCTGGTTGACTCTCCAGTGGTCACAATGGCCAGAGCTGAACTGATCAGGAGCCAGGAGCCTCCTCCTGGTCTCCCACATGGGTGCAGGAGCATAAGGCCTTGGGCCAATCTACACTGCAATCCCAGGCTGTAAGGAAGCTGGAAGGGAAGTGTAGCAGCCAGGGCATGAACCAGCGCCTATTTGGGATCCCAGCACTTAAAAGGGGAGGATTAGCCAGTCAAGCCACCACACCCAGCTCTGTAATTTTACAATCCAATTATCCAAGACAGTGTTTCCCCCTGTCTCTTAATTTGCCTTTTGGGTATATTTTGCATTTTAGAAAAATATTGCTACCTTCTAGTTATGTTTACATGCAGTAACTGCTTTACAGTGTCTAACCTAGCCTGCCCTAGCAGATACACATCATCACTGATATATTCTAGCAAAGTCCATCATTTGTAATGGTAGATGTTGAGGGTACACCACAGCGTGTGACTCTAGGAACCTCTGACTCAGACAAAAGAATAAAATCTTCCTTATCTATTATTACAGATCCCATAAAATACATCTTTTAAATGTTTGGGGAAGGGCCCGGCGCGGTGGCGCAAGTGGTTAAGGTCCTCACCTTGCACACCCGGGATCCCATTTGGGCTATCCTGACAGCCCCGCTTCCCTTCCAGCTCCCTGCCTGTGACCCAGAAAGGCAGTGGAGGACGGCCCAAAGCCTTGGGACCCTGCACCCGTGTGGGAGAACCAGGAAGAGTCTCCTGGCTTCAGATCAGCAGAGTACTGGCCGTTGCGCTCACTTGGGGAGTGAATCATCGGGTGGAAGATCTTCCTCTCTGTCTCTCCTCTCTGTATATCAGCCTTTCCAATTAAAATAATAATAATAATAAATAAATTTAAAAAAATGTTTGGGGAAATGCTTTCCATCCATGGAGTACGGTTTGTTTAAATCAAGTAGGCAGTAGAACCATCTCATTGAAAAATAAATGATCAATTGTTTCATTATATTTCAAAATGTATTTGCAGAGATAATTCCATAGTGACTCATCATGTGCCTGTGTCTTTTCTACTTTAGATATTAAACAGATGGTCTTGTCCAAGTTTTTGGAGCATTCCCCAAACTACGTATCTACCCCAGATGTGAACTTTTATTATTTGAACTAAGAAACTTGCATTATGGCCTTCAGATGCTAGCTCAGCAATGGGGTTCTTGCTGTTTAAAATGAGCCGAGTTGCCTAGAATAGCCTGTATACCCTGAAATTTGAAGTTAATATGATCCTCAGAAATCATCACAAATCATATTTGTTATTTGTAAATCATTAGAATAATTTCACTTTAAAAATATTATAGGAAAATTATGTTCCAGCATTCTTAAAAACTGTGACTAAATGAGGCAGCAATTAGTGACAACTGAAGATCTGGTAGCGTACAGTTCTTAGAACACCGGGGAAGGCATGTGGCAGAGTGTCCCACATTGGAGTACACAGGTTCTGTTCTATACTCCGGTTCCTGATGCCAGCTTCTGGCAAGACGTACTCTGATACTCAGTTCACGCTCTTCATTGCTGTCATTAATCTTTGGTAAGGACAGTATCAGTATAAAAAGCTACAGAGAGAAAAGATTTTAATATTATATCAGGGCCGGGCGGTGTGGCCTAGCAGCTAAAGTCCTCGCCTTGAACACGCCGGGATCCCATATGGGCGCCGATTCTAGTCTCGGAATCTCCAGTTCCCATCCAGCTCCCTGCTCATGGCCTGGGAGGGCAGTCGAGGACGGCCCAAAGCTTTGGGACCCTGCACCTGCGTGGGAGACCCGGAAGAGGCTCCTGGCTGCGGAATGGCATAGCATCGGCTGTTGCGCTCACTTGGGGAGTGAATCATCGGACGGAAGATCTTCCTCTCTATCTCTCCTCCTCTCTGTATATCTGACTTTGTAATAAAAATGAATAAATCTTTAAAAATATATATGAATTGTTAATACATAATTTAAGAAAAAGATTCATTTATGTATTATTTGAAAGGCAGTGTCACAGAGAGAGTGGGAGAGACAGAGATAGATCATCCATCTACTAGTCACTCCCCAAATGGCTGCAAAAAAACCAACCCCCAAGCCAGGAGCTTCCTCTGGGTCTCCCACACAGGTGGCAGAGGCCCAGTGACTTGAGCTGTCTTGTGACACATTCCCAGGCCTGTTAGCAGGGAGCTGGTCAGAAGTGGAACAGCTAGCACTTGAACCAGCGCCCATATGTAGTACTGGTGCAGCAAGCAGCAGCTTAACTTACTTAGACCACAGTGCCAGCCCCACAGATCATTTTCATATCCATTATCTCACTTAATTCTCACATCTAAGAAGGAATCAAAGTATGGTCAGTTTGACTATGGGAAATGAGGCTCAGCCCCAAAAGAAGACGAAAGGGTGAAAGGGACTTTGTATTTCGGCTATGTGATCCTTTGTTATGTTTCCATCTATCACTATACCTGTGTATGCTTCAGTCTGCTTCTAGAAATCTGTTCTTCTAATAGTTGTCCCTGTGGTTTGGGAGAGTCATTTCATCATCCAAGTTTCAAATCTTCTAACTTTAACATTCAGTTTGCAGCTATTTGAATTCAGCTGACTTTTGCCCTATCCTCAAATGATGTCTCTGAATGTCTCAGATGCCATTCTTTACAAACTACTTTAATTGGGTATTATATATCTCCATTCTCTTTTTTTTTCCCAAAGATGATTTCTTTATTTGAATAACAGTTACAGATAAGAGAGAGAGAGAGAGAGAGAGAGATCTTTCTTCCACTGGTTCACTCACCTGTCACTGAGAACAGTCCCAGGGCAGGGCCATACCAGAGTTAGGAGCAAGACATTCCAGCCGGGTCTCCCATGTAAGTGCAAGAGCCAAAGTGATTGGGCCATGTAGGTTTCTTCAGAAGTAGAGTAGTTGGGACTCAAACTGGACCCATAGAATGGATGCCAGCATTGAAGACTTCAAGCCATTAACCACAATGCCAGCCCCTCCATGTTCTTTATAACTAAGAACGCATGAATGCTAAGAGGAATCACTACATATAGTGTATTATGACAGGACCTGGCAGAGTAGCCTAGTGGCTAAAGTTCTCACCCTGAATGCCCCAGCATCCCATAAATCACCAGTTCTAATCTCGGCGGCCCCACTTCCCATCCAGCTCCCTGCTTGTGGCTTCAGAAGGCAATCGAGGACAGCCCAAAGTCTTGGGACCCTGTACCCGCATGGGAGACCCAGAAGAGGCTCCTGGCTCCTGGCTTTGGATTGGCTCAGCACTAGCCGTTGAGGTCACTTGGGGAGTGAATCATTAGATGGAGGATCTACTTCTCGTCTCTCCTCTTCTCTGTATATCCAACTTTGCAATAAAAATAATAAAATATTTTTTACAAAGTATATTATGGCAGTGATTGTTATGTTTTAAATGAACCTTTTTATCCCCTTCTTTTAGTGTTCGGAAGAATCCTCAAACCAAGAAAATACAAATCACCTCTTCAGTCTTTAAAGTTACAGCCTATGTAAGTATTGAGGAGGAATTTGCAACCAAAAGTTCAATTCGTGGTTAATAAGCAGAATTATTAACAAGTAGAGTTATAAATTAGGACATGGTACCTAGGAGAAAAGATGATGATTTAAAAATAATTTGTTACAATTAACAGTTTAAGCAGTTTGAATTTGCCTGCTGGCTCCCTCTCTGCTTCCTAGATGGATTAATATTCCTTAGTTATCTTATAGCCAGATCTTTGACTCAGATGAAATAGAACACAGTTCCCTAATTTTCCAATCCATAATTTATGGGGCAATTTTTAAAATGTTGTTCCTTTTTGAAAAGCAGAGAGAAAGAAAAAATGAGCTCCCACTCATCAGTTTATCATTTCTTTTTTAAAAAATTATTTTTTAATTGGAAAGGCAGATTTACAGAGAGAAGGCAAGACAGAGAGTTCCTCCATCTACTGGTTCACTCCCCAAATGGCCACAGTGGCCAGAGATTAGCTGATTTGAAGCCAGGAGCCTGAAGCTTCTTCAGGGACTCCCAGGTGGCTGCAGAGTCCCAAGGCTTTGGGCCATCCTTGACTACCTTCTGAAGCCACAAACAGGGAACTGGATGGGAAGTTAAGCAGGTAGGACACAAATCAGCATCCATATGGGATCCCGGTGCTTGCAGGTAGAGGATTAGCCCACTGCTCCACCATAATACCCTCCCAACCACCACCACCCTCCCCATTTACTATTTCTATTCCCAAATTCCCACAAGTGCTGGAGCTGGGACAAAACTGGGAATACAACCCAGGCCCCTCATGAGAGTGGGAGTAACTGATACTTAAGCCATCGCTGCTGCCTCTCAGGATCCTAACTGGGAGAAAGCTGAGGTCAGAAGGCAGAGCCAGGCATCCAAGACAAGTGCTCCAATATGGATGAGGACCTCTAACCACTAGGCTAAATTCCCACTCTCCACAAGGTAAACAAAATACCATTAAGGATCCTGGCAGAGACAAGGCAAGAATATAGCCCCTAGACCATGACACAGGGCTCAAATTGCTAATTTATCCTCAAACATTTTATGTGTTTCATGATGCTTTGACAGAAAATAGTCAAATAAGTTGATTATTATTTAAATATATCTGTGCTAATTAAGGTTTGTCTTTTTCAGGATTCTACTGGTATGTGTTACCCTTCAACAAAGCATCATGAACAGACATTTTCTTACTTTATTGTGGATCCCATGAAGCGCCATGTTAATGTTTTATACCACTGTTTTGGTGTGGGGGAAATGTCTTGATTCTCTGTCACATTATCTATGTCTATTATTTTTAAATTAGCTTTTTTTCTGTTACTAATGTTAAACATTTACCATGCAAATTAATTTAAGGAACACCTTAAAGAATTAATTAAAGCAGAAGAAGAACACCAAGATGTCTTCTGTCTTCACGATTGTAACAGGAAACTAAACCTCTCTACCATTGATCATTAATGTGAATTGTTAGCTTTGCATGAGATTCATTTAAGTGTAATTTCTTCATTACATTCGTGTCTACATTTACCATCCTTTTGCCTCATTGGTCTACTTACCGTCCTCAGTAAGCAAGCTTCTGATAGGATTTTCAAACTCTTATCACCTAGTAGCACTTAGGCTTCCTTTAGCTGACACAAGGATAATATGTAAGCAGATAGTTGCCCTGATGGAATTATTTAGTGAACAAAGAAGGAGAAACAGGTTGTTTAGTTCTGTTGTTCATTAAAGTGATAGCATGAGCATATAGTTTAAATGTTTTAATGGAAAAGCTAATTGATTTGTATTCCATAGGTGGCGATGGACAAACTGTGGGAAATACGAGACCTTGAGGAGGGATGAGTTTGGAACATGGGGTTTCTGTGTTGTAAGGATGAGGATGGTAAAATTCAGTTTATGCCTGGATTTTAATCTGGAAGACAGCTCTTGGGATATAAGGCCTAGAAGTAAGTTTGTTTTACTCTAATCCCTTACACAATGCTTTGGCACATTATATGTCTGATGAATGAATAGCCGCTTTCCAGGTATGGTTACACGGGTTATATACCCCTTTCCTGAAATGTTGATGAACAGAAATGTTACAGACATCAAGTTTTCCTGATTTGGGAACACTTGCATAGACTTAAATGATTGTACATCCCTAATCCAAAATTTGATAATTGAGAAACATACTGGGTTTAGAATAAGACCAGTCACTTAGTTTAAGCAACAAAAAAGATTCAGGTTCAAAGTATTTCATATTTTACATTTTTGCATTAAGAATAGTCAATGAATAATAACTATGGAATTTTAAAAATTATATAAAAATATAAAATCAAGAACTAAAGTGCTTATTTGCTACCAGCCTTTCTACATACCATGCGATACCCTAGGCTATGAGGACCCTCTCAGTCAGTTGATTAGTGAGCCTGTCTGAATTCCAAGTCTTTTAATAGTCTCTGTAATTCACTAGGGGCAATACATATTTACAATGAATCCAGTACCAAAGGTAACCTGTTAAAGTCAGCTCCAGACAATGGCTGTTACATGAATTTAAAAATGGGGATGGTCACTGTAAACAAGCTCTAGGAAAGGCTTGGTCTGGATTCTGTGCAAGGTGACAGAGGCTTTCAGCAGTGCAAAGGAGAGTTGCTCAAGGGAGAGCCTAAGGCAACAGGGGAGTCAGAGTCTGGAACTGGGATAAAAGTGGGAGACAAAGATACTGCAGAAGCTGATACTGCAGAACCATCAGCTCTTTTTTCTCTGCTGTGAAGGTTCTCGTAGAATGTACCTTTGAGGACAGATTATTCTATTTTGAGAAGATCATTTTAACAGCTCATCTGTGTTTATGCAGTTTTCCTTGTGGAGAAATGGAGTAGTGACAAAGAATTTGGATTGGGCTGTTGATGCCTGTTTTTTTTTTTTTTAAGATTCATTTATTTTTATTGGAAAGGCTGATATACAGAGAGGAGGAGAAACACAGAGGAAGAAACTCCATCCAATGGTTCACTCCCTAAGTGACCACAATGGCTGGAGCTGAGTCAGTCTGAAGCCAGGAGCCAGGAGCCTGACTGCTTTCCCAGGCCACAAGCAGGGAGTTGGATGGGAAGCAGGGCCTTTGGGATTAGAACCGGCGGCCATATAGGATCCTGGTGCATACGACATGAGGACTTTAGCTGCTAGGCTACTGTTCCAGGTCCCATAACTAAACCTTTTTAAAATAAATAATTTGCAAAGATCTATCAGGATTTTTCTTTATGGAAGTTTTCTTAAAATCAGAATTGCTTTTCTACAGATTGGTTTGTCCATCCTTCCTGTCCTTACACAATGTTGGAGGTCAAGTACTTTTTCTGCAGCACTTTGCGCACTGGGAATGATTTGCCCAACTGCGTATAGTAATTTGTTTAATCATCTATTTTTCATGAAAACACCAACTGTCTATTTCACTTAGTCTTGCATCTCCCATGCCTAACATTGTTTGGTACCTGCATGACACTGAGTACATATTCACCTTCTAAAAGCCAGCATCTGTTTGAGGGGCAGAAGCTGGGCCCTGGAAGTGTGACTTTTGGCAATGCAGAGTGAAAGGGAAGGGTCAGTGGCCAAGGTCTGCAAGCATGGATACTCTGCAGGCACACTGGTAGACTCTAGGAGCTGTCATAATGAGATCTGAAGTTTCCAGTGCCTTTTGTTACATTTTGTGAACAATTATGGTCTAGATTTGGCTGGACAGTGTTGGCTTAGAGATACAGCCTGGGAGCCTGCCTGTGGCAAAACTGTCCCTGGAGACCAGCAGCAGCCTATGGAAACCAAATTTGCAAAAGTGAGATGTGACCAACTCAGACTAGAAAGATTAGAGTAGGATAACTGATCATGTGACGGCAGACTTTCTGTAACTTGAGAACATTCTTTGGAAATTTCAAATGTTGCTTAAGGAAAGTGTCTCAAAGAATTGTAACTTATAAATTAGAGGAGCCTTAGGCTGAAGGAGGGAGAATTTGGTACATTTCAGTCTCATGAGGCAAAAAAAAAAAAAAGATGCAAAAAAAAGACCACATGGTGGTTTGGAGGGACCAGAGAGTAACAGAAGTAGCTACTAACTAAAAACAATGAAGATCAGTTAGAGGGAACCTAGTCACGGAGGGTTTTCAGTGCAAAGCTAAGACATTTTAATGTTTTAAGTGCATGATGGGTAAGTTTTGAGTAGGTGTTGCAGCAGAACAATAGTGATATTCTAGAGAGATTAGTCTGGCAATGATGGATTGGGATTAAAAAAAAGTCTATTAAATAATGTAATTAAATCGATTGCAATCATTGTCAGTCAAAGCACAGAATTAACTGAGCTTATAGCAAAGAAAACCTCTTTGGGTTTCCTACAGTATGTGACAATGAAGTGCTCATCAGGAAAAATAAATAAATAAAAACGCTGGTGAAGGGTTAGCAGCCTGGGTGAATTACGTGATATTGGGTATTTGAGGCACTGAGGATCAGGAAGTGGGCACTGTGGCCGGAAGTTGTGGTGAGAGTGGGGAAGTCCCTAGCTCTGCACTTCCCCTTGGGTTCAGATTGATGGGCCTGTCATTTGTGTTCCAATCCAGTCGTCGCTTCTTAGAACTTTAGCAATGAGCCTGAAACTTCTAAAACCCAGCTGGGGCGTTTATAGAAGACTGTCTAGTTAATCAGTTTGTGCAAAGAGTTAATCTCAACCGTTCTTTCCACAAATATTTATTGATGACCCTGTTGGTGGTGGTGGCCACTTTTTAGGCTTTACAAATAATGGCAATGACAAAAAGAAAAGGTTCTGTATTAGGAAGCTTATATTCTAATGCCCATAATTATGTTGGGCACAATAGAAGAAAAACAGTAAATTATTCTCAGAGAACTTGAAGTCTGGTTGAGACTGTAATTGCTGAAAGATTTAAGAGGATCTGAAAGGATCCTCTGGATGAGAGCCCTATTAGGAAAAATTTATAAAGAAAGAAAGAATAAGGAAAGGTAAAGGTACCCTAAAGAAAGACAAAAGTGAAGATTAAATTTTTATTTGCATGAGTTTATTCACAAAGAAACCTAAAATCTTACATTTTCTTTTTTTTTTTAAGATTTATTTTTTATTTTTATTGGAAAGGCGGATATACAGAGAGGAGAGACAGAGAGGAAGATCTTCCGTCCGATGATTCACTCCCCAAGTGAGCACAACGGCCGATGCTATGCCGATCTGAAGCCAGGAGCCTCTTCCAGGTCTCCCACGCGGGTGCAGGGTTCCAAAGCTTTGGGCCGTCCTCGACTGCTTTCCCAGGCCACAAGCAGGGAGCTGGATGGGAAGCGGGGCTGCTGGGATTAGAAGGATCCTGGGCGTGCAAAGGCAAGGACCTTAACCACTGCGCCACCACGCGCCGGGCCCAGAACCTTACATTTTCTAAAGGTTACCCAGTCTTCCTCTTATAGCAGTTACATTGTTAAAATGTTTAACAAATTAGGGCCTGGCACTATAGTCTAGTGGCTAAAGTCATTGCCTTGAATGTAGCAGGATCTCATATGGGCACTAGTTTGTGTCGCAGCAGCCCTGCTACCCATCCAGCTCCCTGCCTGTGGCCTGGGAAAGCAGTCCAGGACAGACCAAAGCCTTGGGACCCTGCACCAGCGTGGGAGACCTTCTGGAAGAAGCTCCGGGCTCCTATCTTCAGATCGGCTCAGCTCTGGCCACTGCAGCTGCTTAGGGAGTGAATCAATGGACAGAAGATCGTTCTGTCTCTCCTCCCTGTATATCTTGCTATATTCACTCATCCCCTTAACGTGAGACATTTTGGTAGTCTGAACAGTGCAGACATAAGGATCCTTACACAGGTCTTCCTGAGGAATATTCTCTGGACTTTCATCTTTCAAAACTGGAGGATTGCAAGGTGTACTCAGCCTTAATAGGTATCAAAAAATCATTCTCTAAAATCTTTATATCCATTTATGCTACCTCCAATGATGGAAGAATTCCTATTTCAAAACTTTTTTTCATTTGGTTTTATATATGCAGGATTCTTTTTTTTTTTTTTTAAGATTTATTTTTATTGGAAAAGCAGGAGAGAGGAGAGAGGAGAGACAGAGAAAGATCTTCCATTCACTGGCTCACACCCCAAATGGCCACAATAGCAAGAGCTGAGCTGTTACAAAGCTAGGAGTCAGGAGCTTCTTCTGGCTCTCCCACAGGGGAGCAAGGTGCTACAGCTTTGGGCATCCTCTGTTGTTTTTCCAGGTCAGAAACAGAGAGCTGAATGGGAAGTGGAGAAGCTGAGACTCATACTGGCACCCATATGGAATCCCAGCACATGCAAGGCAAGGATTTAGCCACTAGGCTATCATGCCGGGTCCCTACTTAAACACTTTAAGACCCAACCTTTAGCAATTGTCAAACGTGTAGTATTCAAATCGATGAATGTGAAATAGTATTGTTTTAATCACTCTAGCTTCTTTATGGGGTCAAGCATTGATGTGTACATTTGTACTTGTGCGTTGATTGTGGTGGGCAGTGTTGGTGTTGAGAATCACTTCTATCTTTTTTTAAGATTTATTTTTACTGGAAAGAAGGAGAGACAGAGAGGAAGATATTCCAAGGCTATGGACCATCCTCTATTGCTTTCTGAGGCCATTGGCGCGGAGCTGGATCAAAAGAGGATCACCTGG